TTGAGTTACTTCTAATTTTATTAGAACTAATTTTGATATCTCACTCCTCTCCTGCCTTTGATCCCACTTCGTCTTGAGACTAAACAGATTAGACTGCTAATGAGACACCTCAGGATGCAGAATTACCTGCGAAGTTGTCCTTCTCCCTGGGAGCTCCACAAGCCCAGGCTCACAGTCACCATTACCATAAGCTGCAAAGCAGCTCCTGAGCTTGGGATCTGCATTCTCAGAAGATGCGCACACCAATGGTGTTGTCTGAGGGAGCAGAAATCAAAGCACACAAGGTCGGGGACAGTTTTTATCTGTCTGAAGAGACAGCTTTTTTAGCACTGTTTTTCAGGGAGATGCAGGCGCTCCATCAGATAAAGCCTGAGGCTTCCTCTCCAGCTCATGCAGAGACTTTTCCATGCAGTTCTCTGAGAAATGCGTGGTTACAGATTACCTGCTACGGGGCAGGGTGGCTCACACCTGTTTCTGATGGCTTAGCAAAACAAATTATTACTTTAAAATGATGTCTCAGGTTTGATGCAAGCATTGAGAAAAAAGACAGAGATTCACACCTTCTTTTACTGACTTGTACAGTTATTTACAAATTCTCAATCCACCAGGGTGATCCTACCCTCCCAGGGTGCCCACTCATGTTTGCAGGGCTGCCAGATAGAGGGGAGAGGCAGGAAGTATAAAGTCCCGAGTCACTGCTTTAGAAATGAGGTGACAACAAATGGGCTTTAATTTTGGCTACCCTACTCCAAAAAAAAACAACAACAACAAAAAAAAAAGCCCCAACCCTCCCACCTGCAAAAAAACCCAAAACGTGCAAAAAAAAAAAACAAAAAAAAGCAACAAAAAACACACAACAAAAAAGCAGTAAAATGAAGGACAGAAGTCCCAGAGAAAAGCGGCAAAACCAGCTAGAGACAAAGAAATGTCTAGAAAAGGACAGCAGAACAGATGTGAATTCCTTTGTCTATACTGGAGAAAAATTGCACAGGAAATGATAAAAGAACCCCACATATAAAATAATGAATGGGAAATGGAAAAGTAAAGCAGAAACTTCTGTAAATACTTTTGTATACAGATTATACTCCTGAGTGTGTATTACAGGTATTACTCTGTCTTGATTTATAGGAGAGAAATTGCTGTGGTCAAAAGTGAGGCAGATGCTGGTTTTGAGCAGACCACAGCAATCCATGCTTCAGCTTCCAGAGATGGCAGGAGAAAAGCCAGCGTGTTAGCCAAGGCAGTGGTCATTGAAACTCTATTTGCTGAACTTTTCTTAACAACTTTGAGGTTCTTCCTTTTCCTCTTAACACTTTCTGGCATGGCCCAATGTCAGAGTGACATCCTGGATGAGATGAGCCAACATGGAGCAGCAGCTCCACGTGTTCTGCATTAGTGTTGCTATTAGCCTCAGATATTATTTCTGAAACTTTTCCCAAACTCTGCCAGACATCCTCAGGTTTCTGTGCTCAAAGTCTGAATTGAGTGCAGGTTTCCATGGACTGCTTTGATATCCAGCTTGCAAAGCTGCAAGTAATAGGATCACAGAATGGTTTGTGTTGGAAGGGACCTTTAGAGATCATCTAGTTCTAACCCCCCTGCCATGGGCAGGGACACCTTCCACTAAACCAGGTTGCTCCAAGCCCAATCCAGCCAGGCCTTGAACACTGCCAGGGATGGGGGCAGCCACAGCTTTTCTGGGCCCAGATGTTACATCATGAAAAGGCCCCTGAGTTTCATCACCTGCAGCTAAAGGCACCTCCAGAATCAACAAAACCAGAACAAAGTAAACCCAGAGTAAACCCAACCACATATTTGTACATGAGAGCAAAATCACACTGAGTCCCCAGGTTATGGGCTGGAACAAAGACCAGCTAGTAAGCACCTGCACTCTGCTCAGTCTTTCCAGTCTGTGCAAAACCAAGCAATTGCAGGGTGCCAGGCAAATTCAAAACAAGGCAAAGAATCAGACTAGAGGGAAGAATAAGAAAGTATGGCTGAGGATCCAATTCATTAAAAATAATGCATTAAGCTAAGCTAGCTTCATAACTAAGGTGGTGGAAATCAAACTGCATTTTTCTTCCTTAAATTAGAGCTTACCCATTGTGGTAAAACTCAGAGCACGAGGAAAGTGCTAGCCCTATTGCCTGCCACACTTGACAGAAGCACTGTTAACGTGCTTACTCTCACTTTGACATAGCTCTATGGGCACTTAACGAACAGCACTAACTGGAGCATGATTTACATAAGGATAAACATACAGGCTTAAAAATATGGGTTATCATTTGCACTAATGTGGGCGATTAGAGTAAATGGGTTGGGGTGAAACATGAAGGCCAGTTCCACATCAGAACACCCTAAAAGACCTGGGATGCCTGGATCAAAGTTCCCAATTGAGTTTTTTTGCAGTAACAAAGAAAGCACAGCACTGAAGAGGCACCTTCTGAGTAACATGATCACCCAGATATTTGGAGAGCAATCAAAGCAACTTCTTTTTTCTTTGCCATGCAGTGTGGTACTAAGCACTGGAAAAAAACTTCTTCCCAAAGAGGGCTCTTTAAATCCCACGAGACATGTTGGCTAACAGCTTCAAGTGACTGATGCTTCTAGCAGTACTGATTGCTTTGACATCGAAGCCGAGACACCCAAATGGGAGTTGCTTTTCTGATGGTGGCGAATGGTGCCTCCCAACATGCCCCCCCAGGAGAGCTAATTGTATTGGAAGTGCACACCTCCATCACCTAAGGTGATTACTCTGACGGGAAACTGCTGTAAGGACTCATTAATGAAACAGGAAGCCATTATTTCTCATCGAGTATACAGTGTCCTTTAGGAACAGCACAGAGCTATGAAACAAGACCCAGGTGAGATCATGTGCTGGCTTTTTCCTCTCAGAAGAGGGTGAAAACTATAGCAAACAATGCATGCTCTGTATCTGGCTGCTGAACACCAGTATCACTGGCTTAACACACCCTAAACCTGTGACAGACAGCATGAACTACTGAATTCCTTAAGTGACCTTGGAAGAGAATAGCTCACGTATCAGGTGGCAACCCTACATCCAAGCCTCCTGGTAGCGAGCAAAGCTTTTTTAAGCACGGTATTCTTTTGTGTGGGGTGCAGCAAGGTGATAGAGGTATACTGCCTCCCTGCTACCTCAAAAGCACAATTACTTTCCTTGAGTCACCTTTGCCCTCCCTTGTGGTCCCACCAGAGCTGACACACTGCCTCCTCCTCTGCTTTCCTCCTTGCTGAGCTCTGTGTGTCATTTGTTGTCATGTCACAGGGCTGCACACACTACCACTGCTCCTTTACTGCTCTTCTCCATGGGCAAGAAGGGCCCTGTGGCAAAGACCTTATCCATGTATTTGCCAACTGTTACATCCAAATTTCATTGAAGAGAACAGCACAGTGGTAAATAATTTGCCTACATGAACTACAAGTGAAGTAAATAAAATGACATTTGTTGTGCAAGCAGCCTAGCTAAGGGAAAAATCCTCTCTTCCTCCCTTCCTCTTTCCCTCCCCTACAATAAAAAAACAGACTAGATGTAATACATAGCCTTGGCCTTGTCTAGCCCATCACATTTCTGATATGTAAAGCACTCTCAAAATATCTGCAGGTAAGACATTCTTCCTACCCCATGCTATGTAACAATCAATAAACTTGAAACAATTCAGGATTTAATTGGGAATACTGATTAGGCATTTAGCATGGGAACCTCTGGGACACAGCTAACGTGCCCAAAACACTGGGCACCGAGAGAATACATGAGAGACTGCTGCAAGCTGACCTTACATACCCAAGGCCTCCTGCTTCAAGGAGCATTTGCTTGGAGGCACACAGTGCACAAGGGGCTGGTGGAGGAGGTAGCGATGATACCATTAGGTGAAAGAGCTCTCACTCAGCTACAGACTGTGGATACCCAGGGGGTTTATTCACTCACTCAATAATTTTCCTTTATTCTGCTTTGCCACAGAAGCAATGTAAGCACCCCAACTAAGCAGGAATGAAGCACTTAAAAACAGCATAAGGATAAAAAAGGACTTCTGAAGCTTCTGTTTCTTTCCCACTTACACACTAAGAACTTTTTTTCCTAGGGCAGGAAGCTGGATCTTTTAATTTTTAAAAAGAGTATTTGGAGCATAAATTTAAATATGGAGACCCAATCTAGATTTGCATGAAGACACCCCAGAGTACCATCTAATTGTAAAAACTAAGAATGGAGGAGCCACCTAAATCCATCCCATTACAGATGCAGAATAGGTCCCTACAGGATATTTACGAGTTTTTAATGCCTTGGCCTTGTGCCTCACATGCACCAGAGACATACTTTTAGGCAAATAAAACATCCATTGTCATGGCTTAATGCTGTAAGAATTAATTTATCACTAATTATTTCCTCTTCTAAAGCTCTGCTCTTTGGATAGCTGTGACATAATTCTTAAAAATCACACTAGTCGAAGGGCAGAAGTACACCGTCCCCTCCAGCTCCCTGCCCATGAAGGCCAGCTATTCAAATGTTTCTCTTTTCCCAGTTTAATTTCAGCTCTTGCAGTTGACAAGGGGCCAGAAACACTGATCACAGGGGGTGCTGGGGAGAATGGCTTTAGTCCTCTTCTGCTCCTGCCTGGGTATCCTCAGACCAAGGGTCTGCTGGAGGCTGGGAAAGGCTTTGCCTGCATGGCTGTACCATCCAGGTTAGAAAAGGGTGCACCTCTTTGGGCTTCATTGCGAAGCTAAGTCTGAGTGAAGACAAAGCAAGGCCTGAGAAAGTAAAGGTGAAATTTTGACTTAACTGAAGCCTAAGGAAATATGATTTCACTTTAAATAAGTCTGTGTCTCTCACTTGCACACAATCCCAACGTAAGTGATTTCATCTTTCACAGTTGAAGGTCAGCCATTTCAATGGTGTATTTTTTCCACAGCGAGCCACAGTTTCTGCTCTCCTGGCAGATCTGCACAATCAACATACTAAATAAGCCACAAAAGCAAGGGAATTTGAAGTTATTGGATGCTTTTATTTTAATGTAGCACCCAGCTCCGTATCACATACATTTTCCAAAATTAGACGGGCATAGTAGAGAACACTATGCATTTTGCAGCGTACCATGTGGACAGTCTGCAGCTGTGAAAACAAATTGCTTAAATCTGGTTATCTACTTTATAAGTTAAAATTCAAATATATCCTAGCCTCGGGGTATTTTTTCTTTTTAGATTAACAGTGATAATGCTTGCAATACGATTTTTTTATATATAAAAAAATCAGTAACAGAGTAAAACATAATGCATATGTTCATAGCACATTATCATGAAGATAACTGAAAAAAGCTTGAAAATACATCATCTCTTCTTGAAGGTACTACATCGCTTCATTTTTTTTCCCCCAAAAAAATACTTCCACTCTTTAGTCAATAAAATATGTGGCTTCATGAGCCTGTGTATTTTCTTGTCAAGAACTGTGTGTGCTGAAGGCCAAAGGGCTGATGGTCCTGGAAAATGGACACCCCTCATTCCCTGACTCGCAACTTTTACAGGCTCTCTTTCTTCCTGATCTGGAAGTTCAACTGAGAGGAAAGCTTAAATACCACCAAAAGGCAATTTTCCTATCATGCCCATCCTAAATGCTTCCTGGGAGGGATTCCCAGTCCCGGCCATCCCACACGGGTCATTTTACTGTGCAAGTTGTCACCACCTCATGCTGGTTAGCCCAGGCTAGTATCAAGCTGGCACTTTACGGATGATAGCCAAACCAAGTTCCTCTCTCCAATGCAGATACAGAATTCCCAGCAGCAAAACTATTGCCACACATGTAAGAACAGTCTGGAGATAATCTTTTGAGTTAAAAAGGATATTCACCAACTTACCAGTAAGAGGGCTGAATCCACCAATCACTGACATTTTGCTATGGCACCAAAAGTCTCCGGAAGACAGAACTGAGAGCTGTCTGGAAACAGGTGGTAATGTTTCCACTGCATCCGACTATAAAATTAATAACTAGGAGAAGGACATTGATCATTAAGGATTAATGTTTGTACACAGGCAATTTGTTTAAAGGAATGCCTATGAAATGAATGGAAGCTGCTTGCCTTGCTTAATTACCAGGTCATTATTTACATTTAACGGCTCAAATAAAAATGGCTTGATCTACAAAGGCAACCAGTCACTACACTTAGCAGGGCATTTTTCTTTTTTCACCACGGAATTACCATGTGAAACAAGTATTTCACAGAAAGATACCAGGTGATATGAACATTAACTGATCCATGAAGAAATACCTCATCAAAAGGAAGACATGTGAATGCACATTTACACACACACTGAGGAAGACCCTTATCTGTTCTGCCTAGTCTTGTCTTGCAGACAAAAATATTTAATTATCCAAACCAGAATAGCTGCAGTAAACTGAAGATTTAGAACGGGCCCCAGGCTGACGGTCAGCGCATCCTCTCAGATGCAGGTAAGCTATGCTCCAGCTCATGCTCCCAGTTATCCTCTCTTGCTGGGCATGTTTTGTCCTGCAGAAGTACCTACAGAAACCAGGAAGTGAGAAGAGTTGAGACCTCACTTGTGGGAAGCTGCTCTCTTTCCTTGGTCAGGCAGATCCTAGATGCTGTGCTGGGTTAGGCCTGCCAGGTGCTTGAAGTTAATTGCTCTCCTGTAGCTCAAGAAAGTCCTCTGAACACTGGCAAACTGCTTGTGAAGTTCTCCCTTTCTGACCAAATGGTCTCTTTGGGTCTAGGAGCATCTCCCATCCAGCATTTCAGGAAGTAAAGGTTTCTGCAAGAAATGATCGTTTTGTTGTACCCACATTTTTCCAAAGGAAAAATATTTTTTGAGAGAATCTGTGAAACTGTATTCATATGTGAATTTTGAACAGCCAGGGTCTGTTCATAGTAGCCATGAGTGTGGCTGCATGGAGCAACTGCCAGAAGCACTGTCTATAGGTTCATAGGGCATTCCTCTCCCTCTCAAAATCCTAATAGCCTCCCCAGCCAGTCACACTTTCTCATTGTGCATGGGTTATCGTGAATGCTTAAGTACCGAGACATACAGAAGGGTTAACTTCCTGCATCGTATGTATAACCCACCAACACTTCTCCTTGAATACTGTGCTTTACTCTCTCTGTGAAGTAGCATATGATCATCATAGCCAAAATGCCATCAAAGAGAATACAAATCAGCTCACTCTAGGCCTTGAAGCTGAGTGGGACATTTGAATGCAAAAATGCAGGAATGTTTAAAATTTTTAATGTATTAAGTCCTGTGGTAGAATAACAACTGAGCAAATATTTCACTGTTGTCTGACCAGGTATCCTACTTTCCAGTGGACAAAAAAAAACTGTATTTGAAGGGAAACATTTGAAAAAGACATACAAAGCAGGCTTTTCCACCCTTCCTTTGAACAGCATCTATTCCATGAATAACACAAGTGAAATACATGGGGGATTCTAAAAGATGTCCCTATGAAACATGAAAAAGTCTCCACTGCCTTAAAAATGCAAGGTGCACAGTTCTTTGTAATAATGGAAAAGCTTTCCTTAAAAAAATCACTCTTAAAAGAAAAAACAAACATGCCATATGATTTTGTTTCCTATTGAATAGTAGGGGTTTATTAACCAAAAGACAATGTAAGACCTAGAAAGCAAACAGAGCAAGCACTTAACCTCATTAAAGACTCAGGAATGAAGCATGACCAGCAGGTCGAAGGAGGTGATCCTGCCCCTCTACTCTCATGAGACCTCACTTGGAGTATTGTGCACAGTTCTGGTGTCTTCAACATAAAAAGGACATGGAACTGTTGGAACAAGTCCAGAGAAGGGCCACGAGGATGATCAGGGGACTGGAGCACCTCCTGTACGAAGGCAGGCTGAGAAAGTTGGGGCTGTTCAGCCTGGAGAAGAGAAGGCTGCGTGGAGACCTCCTAGCAGCCTTCCAGTATCTGAAGGGGGCCTATAGGGATGCTGGGGAGGGACTCTTCATTAGGGACTGTAGTGACAGGACAAGGGGTAATGGGCCCAAGGAAGTTGTAAGTGCTCCACCCCTGGTGGTGTTCCAGGTGAGGTTGGACGAAGCCTTGGGTGGCATGGTTTAATGGGAGGTGTCTTTGCCTATGGCAGGGGGGTTGGAACTAGATGATCTGAAGGTCCTTTCCAACCCTAACTATTCTATGATTCTATAACTGTTATGAAGATACAAAATAAATGGTAACTTCTGAACAGTACCACTATTGATAAGAGGACAGCAGCTCCTTTGCAGCTTCCCAGAATAGTCTGCAGTTCTCACATTCTATCATAGACCAGGAATGACTTTCTGAACCCTGGTATGCAACAGCTGCACAGAAGTCCCAACTCCAGAGAACTGGTTTTTGCTTGTCAACATAATGATGTTTAGTTGAATCAAAACCAACATGTTACAAAAACAGACTTTTAGTAACAATTCCGCAAATGCTTATTTTCACCTTCAGAATTCTGGATCCATGTCCCACATCCATATTGCTTTCAGCAAGAATAAGCTGTTTCCTCATCACTTTAAACATTCCCATTGATGTCTGCCTTATCTCTCAACAAAATGTTTAGCTGCTCTGTAGTCCTCTGATATCCCTCTGCAGTCATTCTGTGATACACCCTGAAGGAAGGATACCCAGTTACTTCAAACGCACTACTCCTTCCTCTCAGCCCCAGAGCCATCCTGTTCCTTTCTCCCTACAGCTTCACACCAGCAACAGTAAAAACCTTTGCCATCATTTCTGCAAGGCAAACTTGTACACTTAAATCAGGTCAGTGAACAACAGGACATGAAACACCTGCAGCATCACATTTAAGATGGATAACAAGTAAGTGACATTCTTTTGCATTGAAACACACATCGTATCCATGGTGGGAGCAGGGCTGACGTTATGCCTGAAGTCACCCCATCTAAGAGTACTGAGCCAGCTTCCATTGCCAGAACTGAGACCGAAGCCAAGGACCACTGCATCCACGGAAAAATCCCCATGGGATTCAGTTTGCCCTGGATCAGCTTAAAAAATAATCATTGCTTCTTCTTTTAGAAAATAGATGGGCATTAGCAGCTTCACCCTATCAGTAGCATCTCCAGCGAGGTACAAAGGAACCTTAATGAAATCCTGTTGTAGAAGGCAATTATTTCCATCACACATTTTATAACCTCATGTATAGCACTTTTGCTATCTTTCTTCTTTTGGAAATACAGTTCTTGTACACATCCTTAGAACAAATCAGCAGCTATTAAGACAAAGCAGACTAATACAAAGGTACATACAATAGCTTTTGTAAAATGCCCCGAATGCATTTTGAACCTCTTGTTAGAAATAGATGGTTAAAAAAAAAAAAATAAAGAAGAAAAGCTATAAGTCAGTGATCTCTGACATGCTGAAAGTATGCAGAGACACTGTCAGTTGCAAGCAAGTGATCAAACACTAGTGGAGAAGAAACAGTTATAGCTCAAAACCCACTTTTTTTTTGTAATTACCAAAATAATTATATTTTTGTATTTTTCACTGTTCTCTGCTATGATTTGAACTTATAAAATACAAGTTTTCTAACATTAAAATACATCCATGATTGCATAATAAACAGTACTAAGAAAATAATTATCTGACATGTGATTGCAGACTCTATGTCTAGGGAGCTTTATTCCTGTAGCATATTGAACTCACAGGAACTCTACCATGATACAATCTTACAGGAACTAGTAGCATCCAATAGCCCGCCTCAGAGAATGAGTTTTAAATGTAAGCAAGAACCCAGAAACGCTGTACCTCTTAATGACCGGGGCAGGAGGTGCTCACAGAACATGTATAAATCAGGAATTCTTTACATAAATAAAATACTCTCAGGTTATTCATTTCAGTGATAAACTGCATTTACACGTTAGACTGGGAAGAGGGAGGAAAAAAGGCAAAGCATCCTTCAGCTCAGAAACATCCAGCAGTCAGATATTTATTTTCTGTACCTTCTTCACCTTCAAAGGCAATTGCGTGCTGTGGGGTGAAGGGAGACCCAACAAGCCGGTCCTCCCCACCATCACCAGCTTGGCAGAAACCCTGCTTAGCCCCACCAGGCTCCTCTTCTTGCAAGGCTGCTGGGACACGTGCTCTGCTTTTGCTGCTGCACGGCAGTGAGGGAAGTCACAAGACTGTGACAGGACGTAGCTGCTCCAGCTGCGTTTCCAAGGCAATTCGCTCCTTGTGAACCTCCTGCAGGACGGAGAGATGTGCTGTAACTTCTGGGATGCTCACATGCCCCACTGCACTCCAGTGAAAAGCATCCAGGCAAACCACTGGCACTGACTGGAGGCTTCAGGCTCTGCTGTGAAGTAATTCTCCTTGTGGTCTCAAAACACTGTACTATTGCCACACTATCACCCTGCACAGCCATCTAGTGTCTCCTCCTTACAGTGGAGCAATACTTGTTTGGACAATCATGGAGAGGAGCAGTCATCCGATACCTTGGGATGAAGGGAAGCTGGCCACAAATGGCTATTTTTACCAAAGAAAATCAGGTTATCTTGAAAATACATTTCCCTCAAAACTGCTTTCTGAGAATTTCTGGTTGACACAACTAATCTCTTTCCTTTTGGAAATGAATGAGACAGCCTTTCTAAGACAACACAGGTTTTGCAATCTACCTCTTTGACAGTTGTGGCAGGAAGATCATGCGCCTCAGTCAGAAACTAACTGTGAAGGCTTTGGTTCTCAGTGATTTTTGGGAAAGCCTTTCCTGGTCTCAAGGCTGGCCCTACACTGAGGGACATTCATGAAAACAGCAAAGCCCTGCTCCATCAGAAAGCTTCCAGGCAGCAATATGACTTAAAGGACAAATTCAGTTTTCTGCTCTCATGTGAATTTAGGCAAATCTCTGTCTTTCTGTGCCTCTTCTACGCTGCTGTAAAATACAGGTAACAGCATTGGCCTGCTTTGTGAAGGTCAGAGAATACTGAAGATAGTGCATGGAAGCAAATAAGATCTGAGCCAAGGAATGACAGCAATGTGTTGTCATTGTAAGTTTTAATCTCCATGCTTATTTCAATTGCTGTCCTATATTTTGCTATGAGTTCACTACAAAGCATCCACCCTGCTTCTCTCTCAGGAGGTCCCTAAAAGCAGTTAAAAAGTTCTATTAAATAAAGTTGAATATGTAATCAAACTTTCACACTGACTGAACTGGGGGTTCACCTCTCTTTCCAATCAAGTGGCCATTCACAATATACAAAGAGGAAAAAGCTGTAGCTGATCAAAAACTAAAGCCTGTATTAGGCTTGAACTAAGGCAACAGAAAAATAAGAACTGATATTTAAATTTTTGAGAACTGTGTTCAGCTCTAGGGCCCACAACATATGAAGGATGTGGACCTGTTGGAGTGAGTCCAGAGCAGGGCCACAAAGATGACCAAAGGGCTCTAACTGCCAGTGGAGCTGCAGGCCCATAGGCTTTAATCTTCCCAGAAAGCCTCATCCAACCCACTCATACAGCATACTTATTCCCTTCCAGAAAGCAGGAAAGTAATGCAGAAGGTCTCATCTGAAAGGATGAACAAGATTCTCTGCTAGAGTTGACACATAACTGATTTTAGAGAGCTTTGTCACCAGTTTTCAATGCATTCCTTACCTTCAGCTGCTGCTGGAGCTCACTGTTCAACCTGGCGAGCACAGCATTGGCTTCCTTGTTTTTGCGTATAGCAGTCTGAATAGCCCTTTTCTGCTTGGAAGACTGTCTGCCAAACAGATAAATACAAAACATTTCAATTAAGAGCCTCAATAGTGGCTGATGCCAGAAGATCAGACATCCATTTTGCATGTCTGTACTCTATACACACTGGACTACAGCTCTAGACACACTGGACTACACTTCAAGACAAGGTACAAACTACAGATTGAAGAGAAGAAAAATGTAACACTGAAATTTATCAGGTAGACTATATGAAAGTAAAATATAGGCTATAAGGTAATAAATTATAGGAAAAACAATTAAAAAACGGGCAATATGTCTGTGGTCATTTAAACATTTTAGGAAAGATACAGCGAAAGCAGGATTAAGCTGAAGTGTGAACAATGTTATTATCTTTCTTTGAACCACTAACAGAATATGCACTCCCTAAGTACAAAATAACACTTCAAGAGCATTCTAGGAGTCTTACTACGTATTCCAATCTCCAATTATGCAGCACAGATTCAGTCTACTGATAAACAGTTTGCTAAGGGCTGCTCAACTGATCTGGGCAGCTTGGTTTTGTTTCAGACTGAAGCAGATGTCTTTACAAGCTTTTGGTGAAGATGGGCTATAATGTTTGCACACTTTCAGTTGAGGGAGATGTATAGATCCAATAGGGCTTCAAGTGCCTTCATTTACCGTTTGTACAGCCCCTTCTCCACTGCCATTAAATAAATATATAGTGAAATACCTACAAGTCTTTGTTGCTGACATCTTCAACAGCTGTATTTATGACAGCAAACAACAATTTGGCAATCACTGTTTATCACAAGTGGTCTATGGCTCAGCTCATACCAGAGGCGAGCTCATTTCCAATCTGCCTTGTGATGAAGAAATATCACAAAGATATGACCAACATCAAGTACTTCGTGACTCAGTTTCCTGGACATTTCTGTGGTTCACAGAATGAATGAGGAAAACTTCAGAAGATATGTGCAAGGAAAAATGCACATCCACAGATCTAAAAGAGATTGTGTGAGAGATGCTGGTTGAACAGCTAGGTTTGCTCTTCAGACATGTCTACCACATACAGAGGTAAAACACCTTTGAAGAGGCTATCAATCAAATATTTCCAACTTAAACAGTCACCACAGACTTAGTTTGTGTTTGAGAAGACACATGTAGATGTCAGAGATCTGCATCTTGTGAAGCATTCTCAAAACCAGAACTGTTAAGCACAAAATCACGCGAAGAGCAAAGCCAGCCATATCAGATCTCATGGCGCAGTTTGACGTGCTTGGTACAGGTTTTTACTTTTGGACTGGGAGGTGAGGCTTGACTGCTGGTGCGGAAGGAGTCGCATTTATAGTGGGAGAAAGCTCAGGGGTCTCCAGCCCCTGTGCCTCTGCCCGGAGCTTCCTGCGGGTGGGTTTGGAGGGTGGCTGAGCAAGAACAACCTCCTGCAAGGAAGAAACATCAAGATTTAGTCAGGCCATATGTGTCCCATCATAAGGCTGGGGAATACTTGTGACACAGAAATTCTTGACAGCTGGCCTACGATTTCATAATTTAAAGAGGTACAGAGCTTAATTCAGATGTAGTAATAGCCTCTCAGGTTTCTGACTTCGAAAAAGGAACAATAACTCCTGCAACCCCTTAATGAATGAAATGATTATACTGGTGTTTTGTCTTCATCTAGATGACAGGCTTTTCAGAACTGGATTGTATAGCTCTGTGTGCAACTTATTACCTCACCCATACAGCATGGAGACTCTGCTTGCTCCCCTCCTCTCTTACATGAATCAACACTGAAAATAACTTAGGAAGACAAATGTATAAAATTATCCATGCAAAATTAACATGCTGGAAGTGTAGAAAGCCAGTTATTTCTCTTGATAAGCTACATCAAAGAAACAGTCTGGTTTTTAGGTAAAAGAAAGTGTCTTGGATTTTTAACAATTCAGTAGTAAGAAGTGTTTTCATTAAAGTGTTTTAAATTAAGACATCCTTTCTTTTGCAATGAGAAGCAGTTTTAATGCCTTATATCTGTTTTAAATCTGAAATATAAATATATCCTTTCCAGTGCATTCTATTATTAGTGCTCTTTTACAAGAAATATAACTATTACTGCCCCATTTCATGAATGAGAAAGCTAAGATTTAAAAGGATGAAGTGACTTGATAAAAGTGTCAGTCACAGACCAGAGACCAAATTTTATTATCACTTCAAGAGTGCACGTTTTACTGGGCCAGACTTTCTTCCTTACATATGTTAATTTAAGAAGAAAAAAAAAAGAAAAAAGAAAAAGGAAGCATTTAATGACTTAGCAATCATAAGGAGAAAAAAACAACAAAACCCCAACACTGTAGTAAGCAGCCTCACTCAGCAGAAGAGACTAGTATGAGTGATACAGAATGAAACCAACATAGGACCATCAATAATGAGTATTAGAGGGGTTACAATTATTAGAGGAAGTAGAATTATAAGGAAACAAGGGATTTCAACACTAAAAAACCAGTTCTGCCATTATTGGAAAAATCTAAAAATACTATTAGATCTTTTGATCAGGATGTCAGCATACCAGCACTGCACAGATCTCAAAGAATATAATACTCTGAAATCCTACGTATATGTTCAGCTCCTGCAAACATACCACGTATGGCAAGTGAGGAACTTGCATATGCCTTCAACAACTATACACTGGCTAGATGCCAAATCCATTACCCCAGTCTATCATAAACTGCCAAAAACCTAATAAAAACCATAGGATAAGTCCCTCTTCCATTTCAAATGCAATATTGGAAGAAATACCTAAAAGATCCAATACCTAAAAGCAGAATCCTCCACAAGGGCTCTTTGGCTGGCTGCTGTTGCACCAGCCTGTGGAAGGTGGGTCAGCACTGAGCCAACAACCTGCCTCCTGAGCCTCACAGGCTGGGGTTCTCTGTATTTACGGATCCAGATGGGGTGAGGGCAAGCATGAAGTAGGTGGACCGCAAGTATTTCATTTCCCCAGCAGGGCTGCAAAGCAAGGCAAGGAAGAAGCAGGGCCAGGCTAAAAGTAGCATGCAGTGAGCACAAACAGATCAAGGATGCTGCTTGGAAAGCCCTATCATATATAGGAAATTACGCTGGACATTTGTCTGTGCCCCCCATTAGGGTAAGACGTGCAATAACTCTCCCTGGTCAAAGTACATACTACATACAGCACCTGCCAACGGTTCCTGGTTGGGCTGAGCAAAGGTCTTGCAGGTGCTTCCTGGCTGCCAGAGAGGGGAGGATCTGAGGGCAGATTTGTCAAAACCTGTTCTGCCTGGGACTGGAACATTCCTTCTGGGTGGAAGGAGGCAGTAGGATCGTGCCAAGAGCGGGAAAATGCTCACAGACCACTTTATCCCTAAGCAAGGCCCTCTGAAGAGCGTCACTGCAAGTTACACAAATGTTCATGCAAAAACATACTAGAAACCGCACATCTTGAGCAAATCTCTCCCAGTCTATGTACATTTAGTGGCAGATCCTGACCTCTAGCAAACCGGTGTGTTTACATCAAACCCAAATCCTCAGTAACTGGAAGCAAGAAATGCATCACAAGCGAATGGGGGTCGAGCATAATCAAACTCTTTATTTTCTTCCCTAAGGCTCCACAAGTCCTTATTGATTTGAAACAAATGGCGAGCTGCCTCTCTTAAAGCACATGCATCAGTGTGTATGTAAAGAGAGCTTTCTTAATGATTTATCTGAGCTGTTGTCACACGTGAACCCAGCTCTCTCTAGTGCCTTGACCTCCAGAGAAGGTAAACATGTAAAATTTGTAACCCCAACCCTCTGTTTAATTGCTTTAAAACTTAAAACAACCACATTTGTTGATGAAGACAAACCACTCCACAACGGCACAATGCGTGCAGGTCTCACCTTTTTTGCTGAACTGTTTTCTTCTGCCTGCACCGGAGGTCTGTTCATCTGAGGATGTAATTCAACCTCAGATGGTTGCTCTGTCTGCAACAACAAGTCAGTCATTGCTACACCCAGAAACTGAGTAGCAGTCACATAAAGTCAACGAAAGGAAACGTTATACACAAAAGAAAAGTTATTTTAACAATTCAGCAGCAGGGGAAATGGATTTAGGATGACAGCTGAATGGATGACGTACGTATTTTGCGGATTTTTAATGAAATGGTTTTCTTGTATTTTATAGTGCTAGGAAAACCAGAGAAAAGTTTTTCTGTGAAAAAACATGTCTCTGTAAATGACCTAATATCCAGAATTTCTTCTAGAGTTACTCTTATGGTCTAAATAATCAGAGAAGAAGAGGTAGATAAAAGCTAGAAAGATCTTGGATGTGGCCTTTCACCTTATTATCTCCTGACAGTGATGAAAATTCATTGCAGTAAGCCTCTGCCTTTGAAGTTTGCAAGTCTAGAGTGAGAAAGTTGGAATTATACCAAAAATCCCAGGAAAGCTTCTGAAAACACAAGTCATAAAAGAAGCCAAATAAGTTTTCCCTCCTTCCTTCTCACCTTTCAAACAGAAACTGAGCTGAATGCTCACCACACAGGTCTACGCTTCTGCAAAAAAAGAACACGCTCCCACTAGCATATCTGACTGAGCAGCAAATTAAAACACAGGGTTGATCCCTTGCTTTGCCTCTCCTGAAATCTTTCCACATCTTTCCATGTCCTTCACCAGGACAGGGCACAGCACATCAGTTAAGGGAGGGCAGCAGGATTTAGAGCTGCCTGCCCCGGGTGTGCAGCAGCAAAAACGGTATAAACACTGTGGCTGTTTTCTGTCCAGAAGGTATGAGCTGGCTCTCCCAGAGGGGAAAAGCAGACAGGAGCAGGAGGCTGAGGGTAGCCGGCACTGGCAGACTTCTCCTCTTTCCCAACTCCTGCCAAGTTGGAGCCACGCTGACAGAAGCCTCCAGGCAACCCAACGTACTGCTCCCTCCTCAAAAAAGGCACATTTCTCAGAGGTGAAAGCCTGCTTTTAAAACCAAGTTCAGGGTAAAGCACAAACTTTTAAGGGGCCAGGATTACCCAGGGTTTAACCATAAGGCAAACAAAAATGACAGAAAGCACAGAATTTGGCATACTTAAACAGAAGTTAGAACTATACAGTAAGATGCAGGGGAAACATGGTTCTGTCAGGTTACTGCTGCTCTCCAGCCATATGGCATTGCATATGTGCACAGAGAAGGGAGATTTGAGATCTTTTTTTTAAGACACATATGTAATTCCTTGGGAGAAGAGGAAAAGGTTTTGGCTGACAAGATTTCTCTCCCCCCTTTTTTAAGTATGCTATATCTGTAGTGTTATGTGATGGTTAGAAAAATAAAACCTCACCCTGTAATTTTCCAATATCTTAATATCAATATCCTAAATATTGGGACTTTAATAAATATTGGATATTGAGATTTGAATTCTAGAAAGCTTTTCATGGGTTGAAGTAATGCTTCTGTAACTAGATTTCTGGTACAAACAGGAGAGTGAAATGGAAAAAGCAATCTTCTTTTTCTGTCTACAAAAATCAAAGACATTTAAAAGTCCACTTAATGCAACAGAGAATTTCTTTATCAGCAAGCTGAATAGCCCACAATCTCCACAATTTCTACATCCACTTTTTATGTATTTGAAAGAAATGAAGGCCCTAAGCATTGTAACAGTGGCCCGACAAAGTCCACATGGCTTTCATGAATAATTTGGGGGTAGGAAAATTCAAATACCCACAGAGCCACACAATAAAGTTGGGCCCAAACAACATCACTTTGACAAATTTAGGGACAGCAAGAGTAAACATAGTCTTTCAGAGAGCCACATAATATACATATTATAAATTCCTCATGGCATAGTTTTACTGCACAAAACAAAGCAGTAACAGAGAAATACAAGAACCAGCTCTTGATGACCCTTCTTGGACAGGGAGCACTAGATATCCCCCTGACCTGGGAAGGTGGGCAGTTTCTGATGCTCACGCTCTTGTCAGAATCTACATTACACCTTGCATGAAAAGCAAGAATAGATCAATTTATTCCACAGAATTAAAAAGAATGGAGACCAACTCCATGTTATTTGCATGTAGAAAAAATGCAGTTTTTCAAGAACCAATGTGTTTGAACAGTGTATATGTAACTAAATATCATGGCACTCTACAATGGCAATTGCAAACAAGCTGGAAAATTGAAATGACCATAATGTAAAGGACCTAGAAAAGAAAAACAAAAACAACTCACAAACTTTTGCAGGAACATCCACATTCTTCCCCCTCCCTTTTTTTTTTATGGTCTCATTACAGGAGGATACTGTTTTAAACCGAAGGGAATTGAAAAGGGGAGGGGGGGAGGGACACATAAACTTTATGTGGAAGCAAATACAAATCAGAGTGCTGATGCCAAAAAGGGCAAGATTTCAAAATTTCCAACGGCTTGACATCACTGTTCCTACTGATGCAAGGCATGTCTTTTCACTAGCTAAGTGCTGTGATGTGGCTGTCAGCCTAACAGCTGTGGCAACCACTGTGCTGCAGGGCTGCAGTACACGCTGCCAGGACATGAGGACAGCAAAGCTCAGCAGCCAGCCAGGCAGGGGATGGCTGGACCAGGCAGGTGGCAAAAATAAATAAGTAGTTAAATTTAAAAAAAGGAAAATAAACCCAAAACCCAACTAGTTCTGATGATGCAGCTCATGCATAATGAACAAAACCAAGTGACTGCCATGTCCCTAAAGTGCCACCTAGTGGCATGTGCGCCAGGCCATTTCTGAGCTCTCTGCTTAGAGGAGAATACTAAAAACTCACTGTCTGCATTATTCAGTCTGCAGATTGAGCCTGGTCGGCAAGGTGGGCAGACAGCTGGGCTGGACACAAACCTCTGCTCTTTGGAGTCTCCCTTCCCTGTCATGCAGAGGCCAGGTCTACACATTAATGATATGCCATCAGCTACAAGTTCTCCTCTATGAAAAAATCTCCATTCTTCAGTGCGACATGCCTGAAGATGGACAGGCATTAAACCAGGCAAAAATCTTTTGACTGCAACATACATCAATGCAAAAACGGTTTGCTCATCCAGCTAACCCAACAAGTCCTCCAGCCAAGGCCTCAGAAGCTTTACAAATACATTTGCAAGTTAATGTCTCCCCACATTGGCCCACACAGATTTTTAAAGGAAAAATAGCTCCTGCTTTTAATTTTGGTAGAGATTCTTCACAGATTGCCTTTCCTTCAGTGATTTGGATGCGGGATGAAAGCAAGTCCCTGTGGTCTTCCGGTCATGGATACAGTGAGACTGACTAAAGGGCACTCCACACTCCAGTCTGATCTCCTACAGTAGAATAAGGAAAAGGTAATCCATCAGGAGCAGCTGAGTTGGGTTCCCTTCAGTTCCGCATTGGCTTTATACCATGCTTAGTATAGTATCTGGACAACTCATTTCTCATTCAGAAACTCAGCAATGAACTGTCTCCTTCAATCACAGCAATGTCTTATAATTTTCCTACATCTTTGATGCTTCTCACCATTATATTAGAGTTTAAAAATCTTCACCACTGGTTTATAAAACTGAAAGGTTATACAGTATGCAATATGGTCTTCTGGAAGAAAATTCAGCTAGTAGTGTAAAAGTGCTTCAATGGAAGTTTCTCACTCATGTCCACAGAACTGAGCAAACTACTGGTATAGAAGTGCTGCTGTGCTGGCGAGTACGGCTGGGTCCATATCCAAGGTTTGCAGTAGATGAGCAAAGAATATCCTGCTCATGTGTGCCATCAGCAGGGCAAAAAAAAAGAGTCTGCAGACCAGGACTAAGGGTATCTTGATTTTAGAAAAGTAAGGGGCCACAGAAAAGAGCAAGAGTGTCCTATTCGAAACCTCCTAAAGATCTTCTCTTTGCAAAGACATAAATCCAGTTATTAACAGGCAGTATCTCCTTTTTCCCCACTGCAGTCTTGTATTTTCTAGGAATAGCAGAAGATAAAACTAGCCAACAAAGTTTCTGTACATCTGCTATGGCCAGACACTAACTTGTGACCTACAGCAAATGGTAAGCATTATGAGAGATAACTCCTCATTGTTAAGGAGAGCATGAGGAAGTCACAAATGCTCATTCTTTCATCACATGACCTTTGACCAGCTATTCATAATCCCCTCACTGCTCCATGTGATGATACTTAACAGTACCTTTTTAAAAGAATACGTAATTCTCACTTAAGCACTAAGTGCTTTGAAAACCTCAGATGAAAGATTTTCATAACTGTAAGACAGCACATTACCTTAACAACTGGTTCTCCACTTATATTTCCAGTTCTTCTGCTTTGCAATGCTGGGTTATATGTAGATTTCACATACACTTTTCAAGACAATCTGTCAGTGATCTTCCAGAACAGAAGCTACATGGAGCTTTCATATTTGTGTTATCCAAGAGCCTTTTCTCAAGAGGTGAAGTATATACATTCAGTCTTCCCCCCCCCCCCCAATTCAATCTCACCCACACTTATGCTCCAGGCCAACTTTACACATGGAAATAGTCCCATTGTAGTCAATGGTACTACTCACAGAAATGAAATTATCTCTGTGCATTCACTGGAATAGCCTATAATCATTACCTATACAATGCCACTGCTTAGCTTTGCAAAAAAAGTATTCAGAACAGCTTATCTGCAAGAAAAAGGAGGATACTAAATATGCTTAATGCTCAGTATGTGCCCACTGCAATCTTCTATCATCTCTATGCAAGTTCATTTATGAGGTATTTTGCTCCTTTCTAAACATTCATATTGTTGCACTAAATGACAATTCCTAAGAAGTCAAGATGTCTCAATTCCAGTTTCTGTGAGTCTTGTGCATCCCACACTGAATCATCATTTCTTTTTATTACTTGTTTCAGAAACTGAAAATGGCAAGATGGAAAGAAAACCCATAGGGATGCAAATGCAACAAGCTGCCAGGGTCTTAGTGTGCTGCCTGCTTTCTCAGCGCTGTGAAGCCCTGAAGTTTTCATAAGCTTT